CGCCAGTGAAAGACCTCTGGAGCAGGTCGGGCTCAAATTTCATGCTCATGCTGACTAGCTACTTACCTATGCAATTGGCCGAGTTTTCACGGGCCGATTGACGATGCATTAGCCGCCCTTCTGGTGTGCCATTTGGGTGCAACCGGGCCACCGCCCGGGGGTTTTGCTGGTGGGGGCGAGGGCCAATTGTGTGTGGCCATTCGGCCGAGATACATCTATTTCCACCCTCTTTCTGTCTGTATGTTCGTCTGTCTGTCTGTTCATCTGTCCATTCGTGCAACAACCCGTTGGCCCTATTAGTGGTCCGGGGGATTAGCAAGTAAATGGGTCGCTCCGCTTTTTTTTGTCCTCGGTTCTTCTGATGTTCGCCAATTTCTTTATTTTCATACGTTCTTGAATGATACCGGTTAATTTTTACTACCGTATTTTCTTACAGTACCGCACTGTTAGCGGGGAAAGTATTATTCCCAGGAATCCCGTGCGACTCTATAACAAAATATAAACCATTTTGCGCAGTTTTTCGATCTAAAAAGCAAGTTTTTCAATCATCAAAATTAAAAAATATGCATCTTGCAATCAACAACTACTAAAAACAATTAAAACACCTAATAGAAAAAATTACCAGAGATTTCTGGATTACAGGAAAAAAATTAGGTTTCTCCGATAAACTCTGCTTCTCTCTGACCCCCCCCCCGATAATGCCAAAGTACATTCAGGGATTCTACCGTCATATTTTCAAGTGTTGAACGCCGTTCAGGGCGGCGCTGTCAATATTTCAGTAGCCGCGCTTCAGCCCCCCCCCTCCGCCCCACCCGGAGCGTTTGAGTAGGCTAATTTGTGAACTTGCTGCTCATCCATCTCTCTACTCTCCCTCTATCCATCAGTATATCCATTTATTACCACCCCCCACCCGAAAATATATTGGTTTTAGGGCTAAATTGGGGGGGGCTCTTTACAATTGGCCACCTGCCAAATTGGGACGAAATTTGGAGGGCAGATCTGTTCGTCGATATTTGGTTGAAATATTGGATTTTACAAGATTTTTAGCCGGTTTTTGGTTTTAATCAGACATGGCAATCGGCCGGGCCGCGCGGCTTTTTCGGCCGCAAAAATTAGAATGCGGCCGGGCCGCGCGGCTCGGCCGCACTTCCGGTGCGGCCGCGGCTTTTTTCTGTTTTGAGGCCGCACGGCGGCCGAGCCGCGCGGCTTTTAAGGCCGCATCCAAATGAGTTTTGAGCACTTCCGGTAAGCAAATCAGCGATGTAATGGGTATTTAGCTTGCTAATGAGGAATTTCTATATTCAATAACCCTAATTTTCTCATTTCCATTCCCATTTCGCATGAAATTCACGGAATTTTGGTATGTAAATGAGCCACTTCCGGTTGGCGGCTTGGCCGCAGCGGCCCGGCCGAGCCGCGATCAAAATGCGGCTCGGCCGCGAAGCCGCGTTTCCGGAAGTAACTAATTACGGCGGCTCGTAGGGGGCCGCGTTTTTTATGGAAATTAGGCCGCCGGCCCGGCCGCGCGGCTGGGCCGATCGGAATTGCCATGTCTGTTTTAATTGTTAATTTTCGCCCCCGAAAGATTTGGCCAAACGCTGCAACGCAACTCGCCCCCGCCTAGAGAATCCATATAGAATACATACAGTATAAATCCATAGAGAATCCAAAGTGTTGGCTTGTCCGTCGCTTTAATTACGTTAGTTTCCGGTACTAGGCTGTTAGGCTGTTAGATGCCTCTAAAGGTCCGCACCACCACTCTCCCCGCTAAAAGTCCAGTACCTAGTTTTCCCCCAATAAGTCTGCCAGGCGCCAGACTTCACGAGATTTCCGATGTCGGGTCATCTCACCTTGAGGAGCGGTGTAACCGATCCGAAACTCTCTCCGGGTCCATCCTCCGAACTTTGAGCTGAATGCCCTGAAAAGTGATATCCGGGGGAATTTAACGGCAGAAGATGTGAATTCCCCCCTTTGGAAAGTGAAAGGCCATTCCCGGCGAATACATCCATCCGATTTGTGGCTACTGTATTATGCGCGAATCGTTCACCCCGCCATTGTGCAAACCGGAAACGCCCGAAGACAAGAAGAAGCCCACCACCGCGTATTTTGTCGTCGATCTGTCTTCCAGGTGGATTTGGGTTTTTGACAAGCTAGCAATTTTCATTTTAAAATTATTTAGAGGCATTTAGACGATTGTTGTTATCAAAAAATGGTTTTACTGTTTTTTAATTGATGCATCGTCTCAACTCGGCTTGATATCTTTATCATTATCAGGGGGGGGTGTAATTTGTGTCCTATAAGTGCAGGAATTCCTAGTAACGTAATCGTAGGTGTTTTAATGGTGTTTTTAGGAATTCCAATCGGTTCCCCGACAAATCAGTTCCCCGACACTCAGTTCCCCGACACTCGGTTCCCCGACAATCGGTTCCCCGACAAATTAGTTCCCCGACAATCGGTTCCCCGACAAATCAGTTCCCCGACAATCAGTTCCCCGACAATTAGGGAATGATACCACCATTATAATTACGTTAAAATAGCACCTTATAATTGTCGGGGAACTGATTGTCGGGGAACTGATTTGTCGGGGAACCGATTGTCGGGGAACTAATCTGTCGGGGAACTGATTTGTCGGGGAACTGAGTGTCGGGGAACCGAGTGTCGGGGAACTGATTGTCGGGGAACTGAACTGATACCTGTTTTTAGTACAATTTAGCTTTCAGATGGAAAATTATCTTAAAAAACTTTTAAACATCTTGGTCGACATTTTGGTCGTAAAATCATTATTATTTTTGGATTTTTAATAAAACTTTGTAGTAAAGGTTGACGTTCAGGAATTGTAAAAAAAAAACAGTTTAGGAGCAGTTTTCATATAAGAAAAATCGAGATTAAGGAAAAGTTGGTTTTTCGACCTGCTAATTTTTAAATTAAAAACGTGTTAATGTCATAATGCCGATTTTCATAATGCCGATTTTAAATAACACCGATTTTAACCTTCTATTCCCACTCCGAATAAATTAACCCGGAATTCAGCGGGTATCATAAATTGGGAGCGGCGCGAAAATGAGTACAATAAGTGGGGCTGGCTGCGGGAGATCCATGGCCTCTATATTCCCCTAGAGGCCACTTCCCCCCTCGACCTCCCCAAAAAAGAGTGGCTCCGCCAAAAATGAATGCCCCGCCGGGAGCTCGAGCCGCCCGGGGGAGCAACGAACGCTGGTCTGTTGTTTTGTGTTTGCCAATGGCTAAAACAAGGAACTTTTGTGGAAAAGCTTCCATCTTCCCGATTAGCTTCTATCGTAAATTAAGGAAAAATAAAAATTAATTATTACAGATGCCAAGTGCATATATTTAGGACACATAATTAGGTATATTTTATATTTTTATTAGCGTTCGAGAAAGTTTCGACATAATTCTTTTGTAATCAGAAATGGTAAATTGCGAAAACTAGCTTGTCATCCCATTTACAGAACTCCGTTTAAATCTTGTAACATAATAGGAAGTGTTTTAATAGTGTTTTTAGTGATATATAACTATATCCTACTATATATAAAAAAATAGTGTCTGTGTGTGTGTGTGTGTGTGCATTTGCATGCAACTTCCGTCCCTATGTTCCAGTCGTATCTCGATAGGGGAAGAAGGGATGGGTACGTTTGATATGTCATTAGATGCGTAATGGCCCAGCGATGCCTGCACACATATCAGATTTTAGAAAATAAGCTGTTTTCGACATTAAAATTAAGTTTTTCATGAAAAATCGGAGATCCTCTTTGTTAGGAATCAATTAGCATACACCGGAAGTTTAAGTAGCCTATATAATGAGAGAAAGAGGGAGCTGCTTTGATTTTTTGACAAGGGGATTCGTGAGAATTATGCAAAAGGCAGAATATCATCAGATCAGACGGGGCCAGGGTTGAAAAGTCGCGAAGCGGCTTTTCAACCCTGGTTTCAACTAAAACTATCTATCCAACCATTTTTAATGTTTTTAGAAGTCTAATTTTAGGGCAAACATCGGACATTTTTCGTCGAAAAATAGATATTTTTGCTATTTTCTATAAAAATTTGTAAAGTTTTTACCTTTTTGAAAAGTAAAAGGCGTTTAGAACCACTTCCATTGTTTATAGTTGAAAAATTAGATCAGAAAAAAGTTGACCCTCCGATAAAGCAAAAGAACGGCTCAAGCCATGAGTTAGCTAAAGGAAATAGATCCATCCTCCCTACTACCCTTCCCCCCCGCTAACGACCAAGTTCCCCCATTTAAGGATTTTCACCGCCTCAATGTTGCCGCTTCTGCAGCAATTCTGGTTGAGCGGGCAATATCCATTCCTTGGTGCCCACCCCCTGAGCGGCTTTCCTCATTTGTGTATCCGGCTGTGGTGGGTGGTGGGCCCTTATGGGTCGAGGGATGGGCCCCTGTGGGCCCTAGCAGGCCCCTATCAGGTGTCTCTGCCTGCCTCCATCCACTATTTGCACATCCTTCTTTATGGCTCACTACTTTTATTGGCCCTCCCCGGTTTGGGGGGGGTTTTGGTGTGAGGCCCAGCCTTGGGGATTTTCTGTCTTATTGGGGCCCAGATTGGTAATGTTGCTTTTAAAGGGAAAGTGACAGGGATAAAGAGCGCTATTTTCATGTAAAAAGCAATAATCTGATATTTTTCGGTACTGAATCATTAACAGGGGGGAGGGGGGGGAAAGTGCCAGCATTTAACTCCCTAGCAACAATTATGGCTTTAATAGTGCATTTTATATGTTTGTAATAGTTTTTAACAACCAAAAAGCCATACAAATTAAAAAATTATCATCACAGAATTTTTGATATATTTCTTACATTTTTCGCCAAAATCAAGATTCTATTGTCAGTTTTAATAATATTTTATGCTTAGAAACGTGGTACCGCCGCTAACCCCGCATCCCCCCGCTAATGGCCCAGTACCATATTTTCTGAACTACCCTATTTTTCCAAGCCAAAAATTCGCAAAATCAGATCAATTAGGACGACGTCAATGATCGGCTCGACAGTCGAATCGGGCAGCGAATCGCGAATCGATCTCCGGGCCGGCTCAATTATCCGTCGAAAACATCAAAGGTGCCATTTGATTTTTAAGTAATTCTTTTTTCAGCAAATCCCGGTACCTTGGTTGTGCGCCATGGCTTCTCCTGGCCGCCGTCCTCAGCTTCAAATTTGCCGTGCTAGCTGGTTGGCTGGTCAGAGGTTGGTTGGCTTTATTCTCTTCAGTTTTCAATTCTGCCGCCTGGGGGACAAGACAAATTTTTTCTGTAAGTTCAGAAATACGTCGCAACGTGGTTGTGTTTTTAATAAAATTTAACGATTTTCAAGTCGAAATTTGACATTTTGGTCGAAAAAATCTATAGTTTTGTATTTTTTACCTAGACATTTCTAAATTTTTACGTCCAGGAATTGAAATAAACACTTTAGAAACATTTCCTGATTTATCTTGGAATCCTATTAGAATCCTAGGGCAGAAATTGACCCCCCCCCCCCCGATAACGCGAAGGCACTCATTTCAGAATACTACGAATCGGGCTATCGATGTGCATTCACGTGGGATGATAGTGATTGGCAGGGTGAAAATTCTGCACTCACTGCTGCACCCGCTGATAATGGACGCTACGCACAGCTGCTACGGACAAAACGGCAGCAGGAGTCAGTTTCGGAAAATTGCAGCTTATCTTGTTTTCAGAGAGACCCAATTCTTGACCCGCGCTTTAGCCTCAGCTCGATGAAACGCCCCACTGCGGTTCAGATGCAACCCGTTGTGAGTGTTTGAAAGAATTTTCGATTTTTGTCTTTCCAGCAAACCAGTGGCATCCAGCTGCTACAATCCGTCGGCGGACAAACGATACGCACAAAGACAATCCGCAACCGGTAATCCGCCGAAAACGTCAAAAACTTACCTTGTTTAGTATCGAGGCGTTGCCCGGAAATTCGGTATCTTTGAACGACGTCCCAAAAATGAAGCCCAAGCCGCAGATGCCGATTTATGAGGAAGGGGGCAGCACCGAGGTGGTCAGTTTGGATGATGATCAGATTGATCGGTGGGTTTTTAAGTGTTTTATTGATTCACATCTTCATTTACTTATTTTCAGCTTACGGCCACCAATTGGCGGTCCCGTTCCGAAAGTTCCAAGAATCGTGGCACGCGAATCCGGGGAGGACAAGGAAAATGGCCAGAATTCAACGGTATGGGTTCAAAAACCATCTAAATATAATGAAATAAAAAATATACAGGGTGTCCCAAAAAAAAACCCCCCCTCGGCATTTGGCCGTCTTCCATCCATTCGGGGCCAAATTTTTACCAGTGATGGGGACCCATAAAAACTATGTGCAGCCGAATTTTCTAAGCAAAATATTGTAAAACAAAGAAGATATATCAAAATTAAGGTTAATTTTGCCGATTTCACTAGGATTTTGACGGATTTCGGCCTCGAAATGTTTAGCAAAAATGAAGAGGGCGCTCTTTTCTACCTGTAGAAATTTTTTGATTTACGAAAATTACGTGTAAATTGGGCCTTTCGATCACTTTTTAATATCGAAATTGCCAGAAACTGACTGAGAAATGACCATTTTTTGGAAAATTACTCAAAATCCGCATGCTAATTGCGAAAACATAGCCAAAAACGAGCACCAGCTTTTTCCAAAAACCAGTTTTTTAGCTGATAACTTTTTGGTTTTACAATATTTTGCTTAGAAAATTTGGCTGCACATAGTTTTTATGGGTCCCCATCTCTGGTAAAAATTTGGCCCCGATCCGATAGAAGACGGCCAAATGCCGAGGGGGGTTTTTTTGGGACACCCTGT